GGAGAAATGAGGGGATAACGGGGGGGGGCACGGGAGGAAGGGAGGGAATGGGAGAAGGACCTGGAACTGACTTGTGAAGCAACCTTGTTTCTTATCTAAATTTAAACTGGAAAATAAAATTTAAAAAAAAAGAGTTACAAAACAAAAAAAAAATTATGAATTGCCTCAGCTAAGATACAAGTTGGAGAAATTATTTCCACTTTTATAAGAAATTCTTTTTTCTATTCTCTACTAGAAGTTAAAAAAATAGCATACAATATTTAAAGGCAACTTTAAGTCCTTTGTATGATTTACCCTTGTGTGAAGGAGTGTTAAAGTTGCAAGTTTTACTCAGTTTTGATAGTTAGTTGTTCCTCTGCTACATTCTAGTAAAAGGCCTGTTCTTTATTCAGTATCCTAAAAGAACATATTGAAATTATCAGGAGTTCATGTATAGGTAAGCCTGTTTTAGGACATTTGCTCATTTCTAGTGTTTTATTTACTTACTTCTGCAACTATATCTAAAAACTCTTGAATACTATAGGTTTTAATAACTCTTAATATCTACTATGGTATGACCTCACATATTTTTCTTCATCAAGAGCATACTTATACCTTCTGTACATTTAAAATAACATTAAAATTTAAAATCTGCTTGCCAATTTTCAGACATAAGGTCTAGTATGTTTCTTTTGAGAAGAATGAGGATTAACATACATTAGAAAATAAATTTGGGGAAAATTAACCTATTTATAATATTGAATAATATTGCTTTGCACAAACATATCACGATTTCTATTTGTGTTTACATTAACTTCCCTAAATAATAGTGATATATTCAATATATTAATATTCATTATCAATCAATGTTAATACATAATGTTTGTATAATTCCTATTATATATAACTATATTACTATTACTATAATACATATGTGCCTATACCTTAAAAAACAGTATTGTGCTATAATAGTTTATACTTTATACTTTACTTTCAACTTTATATTATTTGTTGCTAAAATAGCAAAATATTTTTATTTTTATTTTATAAGCATCAATTTTAAAGATAATTTTTATGATACTGTTTATCTTTAGAAATATTTATATACATTCTAATTGTCTATTAATGATAATAGCTGGCTTTTAAGTGTTTAATCTCTATTCCTTCATTGTAATACTTTTTAGTAACTTTCTCAAAATTTTGAATAGATACAACAATAATAGACATCTTTTTCTATTTCCCAATTTTAAGATGAAGCATTTATATTGAATATAACATTACTACTCTTGATTTTGAAGATTCTCTTTACTCCTTTCCACTATGGTAAAATTCTTTTATCATGAGTAAACAATAATTTTATAAAACATTATTGAATACCACTTAAGTATGAGGTTTTTCTCATCTACTGTATCTATGAGATATGTTAGGTCTAGGCCTGGACCAATTTGCATTTATTGGGTCCATTCTTCCTTCATTTTCTTCTACTATCAACTTTAAAACTTGACCAACAAATCAATAACATATAATGAACATTTCAAGTGATGCTCTTTGGACAGAACAGTATACTATGTGATCCACAGCTCCTCCCAGTGCCACCAGAATGAATGAAGAGGTGATGGATAGGTGGGGAAAATGGTGTTTTTCCTTTCTTAAATTGTTTATTTTTATCTTAATTTATTAATTTTTAGATTTGCTTTGGGGAAGACACTACAGGGGTAAAGGACAGATAAAGAGGGACTAGGAGATGAGCAGGATGACTAGGAGATGTACATGATGTTGAATTCTCAAAGACTCAATTAAACATAAAATAGGAAAAGTTCAAAATCAAACAAAACAATTTCTTGTTTGGTTTTTTCAAGATAGGATTTCTCTGTGTATCCCTGACTGACCTGGAACTCACTCACCCTGTAGACCAGGTTGGCCTCTGACTCAGAGATCCTCCACCTGTCTCTGCTTCAAGAAGTGCTGTGATTAAGGCATGTGTCACCACTACCCAGCTGTAATTTGCATTTTTAATATGTGCTCTCTGTGTTCTCCAATATCTGGATGCTGGTACAATCCAGCTAGTAGTAAACAACAATTGTACATTAGAGCCAAGAAGTACTAAGAATTTTCACCCTACTTTATGTAGCAAGCAACTGCTTCTATATCTTTGTCGCTCCAACTTCTTCCTTATTGATCAAATATGTTTTCCCATGTGATTGTGAATCCTAGTGTCAAAAAACAGAATCTTTTCTCTTTGTTATTTTATCTTAGAAGTAAGAGTTGTTATATATTATTGTGTTTACTAACAATGATTAACTAATTAGGTAATAACTTCTTGTAATAAATCCCTTAGTTATGTGGGAGCCTGTGTGAGATAACTATGATCTCACTGTGATCTATGAATGGAACAGAGTACAAAATGTTCTTCCTAAAAGATGTCCTTGAAAAAAAAATACACAATCTATAATAAGTGGATGCACTTGAAAACAAGGGCATGTCAGGGTTTCCCTGACTTATGTCCACATTATCTATGGGAAAAGTAAGTCCTTGAAGAAATATTTTTGGCTCTTTCAAATTACTAAGATAATCAAACAATACCATGTGTATTTTCTCACTGTACCTTGCATTAGCTCACCCTATGTCTGTCTGCCTGTCTCTTTCTCGCCCCACTCCTTCTGAATCTTATAAGTACCTAATATTATTTTAAGATTACTCTTAAACTTTTGTCTGACCAAGATTATTATAGCTACTGAGGAGTGCTAATACTTGGTACCAGGTATATTGATCTCATGATTATTCTATTGTATATATTTAGGTATTTCAATAACAAAATAATTTTCTTAGAAATAGTATGCTCTGTTTTATATGTAAAAATCCGAGTGATTTAGAAAACAACTAGAAAAATATAAATGATTAAATATGCTCATAAAAGTAGAAAACAACGTTGAACAGTACAAAGTAAAACTGTAATAAAAATTCAAGGCATCCACAAAATGTTTCCAGACTAGCTAAGTTTAAGTTTTCATTATGCTACAAGGTGAAAGACAACCTAATCATAATATAAGGTAAAGTCTTCCAACCCCTATAAAAAGTGGGAATTTATTTCTCTTCTGTTATAGTTAAATTCTCTTTGATACAAACTCTAGATAAGGGTGCTTGCCAAAAGAACACCATCAAACTCAAAGACTAGCATCTTATTTCAAAAAATATCAAATACAGTGGTGAATTAATAAATAGACTGGGCTCAAAGAAATCATGTTAGAACAAAAGAGTAGTTGAGCATGTTGTTTTCACTTGCAAATCCAGGAGGGGAGGTTGAGACAGAAAAAAAGCAAGTGATCACACTCTAGAAAAAAGTTAGTATCAATTTAACACTAGCCATGTTAACTTTCAGCAAACTTACAGGATAATTGAGTGTCCACATCACAAAATCACCAACAAACACGTAAATGTGCAATATTAGGAAGATACTTAATAAACTATGAAAAACATAAAAACCATGCACAAACAAAATAAATGTGAACAATGAACATGTATAATAGTATCAATGTAATTCTATAATTAAATATCAAAGTGCTCTCATTTGCATATAATATAAACACATTCAGATACAGAATCAGATACAGGAATATTCATGGTATATTTACATATATATACATGATATTGTGATATATAGGATATTCAGACATATATAGATACATAAAACTAGCATAGCCTAGAAAAATCATTGAATCATAATCTGTAGCCTATTCATAGCCACATACCAATTTTCCAGTTCCTGTGTAATATGTATGAGTACTCATGCAAAGCCAAAATGAGCATGTACTTCAGCTTCAGTGGGGCAGCATATGTACCATGGTTGTGATGAATCTAGATGGAATCCAGGTGTTATGTAGTGACTGTAATCTAGAGCGTTCAAAGGTGAAAGCTGAGAGCTAGTGGGGACCAAAATGTTACACACATCAAAAAGCTTTCTTGCTGGGCACTGCCAAGTAGCCGTAATAAACAGCTCTCACCAGCAAGACAAACGAAATGAGAGAGCCCTGAGTCATACTGAGGGTCTTTTGAACTGGTTCCTAAGTGTAGGCAAGCTCTAGAGTGGAAACAGTTGTGTAACCTTTAATATACGACAGATGACAGGCTCAGGTAGAAGAATAATTTTAAGTTCAGCCTTGTTTCTTTTTCCTTGGAAGAGAAAGTCCTACAGCTCCACTGATAGAGTGCCAATTATTACTTAGTAGCCGATGGTAACAGGACAGGGTGAACATTTGGGTTTACCAAGTCAGTACGTCCAGAAATTCTAAACCAGCGGAAAGCTCATTAGTGGCTGATTGGGTGAACACAAAATTAGAATTCTATGTTATACTATTATTCTCACCTTCATGGAATACAAAGAATGGACTAAAATGGAATAATAAAAATGAAAGTGGTTTGAATTCATTCATGGAAATGCCCATGATGTAAGTGAAGGAGGACTTCAGCTATAGTTTTCAGGGTCCTCACTTTTCTTCTTGGAATTTTGGATGCCATGGTTTAAGGAAGGATAATTAAAATCAGAAAAGTGAGAAACTCCATACCCTGTTATCAGTCCACATGACAATAAGAGTTATAATACAGGGGGTCTAAAGCACAAAGTATAAAGGACCCAAAAACCTCCCACAATTCATCTGTTCACCAAAACTGCCAGAAGCTGTTAGGCCTTGGAGGCCCAAAAAGTAGTAACAAAATAAAATGTATGCATTCAGAGATTTGGGGGCTTACAGGCTAACCTTTAGTCCTTAGAAAGGTGAACAAGTTTCTATGAAAAGTCATGTTACAACAGTTCAGTTTGAGGGTGCTTTCCCAAAAGGAAGAGACATGCAGAGTTGTAGCCACAATTTTTGATGAAACTCTACCTTATTTCCTACTTACACAGAACTCACAGGAAAGAAAGATCACTGATTTGATATCTTTAGATTCACTTCATAAGACGGAAAAGGCTTTGAGCAAATGATTAATCAATTATTAATTTGTTATTTGGGAACTTTTACCTTTAGGATTAAAACAGGACTGACAAACTCCCGTGGTTTCTTTTCCAAAGAACGGGTCTGCTACATCCCAGGAATTGAAAACCCTGACTTTAGCTTTACCTTCAGTATTACCTGTGTGGGCTCTGCTCAACTGAATAAAACATCCTAAGTGTTGTCAGGTGAGTAGGTGTATAAAAGGAGAAATCTGTGAGAACCCTTTAATATCCTCTGAAAACTGCTGCCTCCCATGCCCTGAACGGATGATCACACAGGAATAAAGGTAAGAGACCCAATGTTTTGATGATTCACAGTCCCAGCCATAGGATAACCTAGACCCCGTGAGCCCTATCCATAATCAGAACTGTTCCATCTCACTTCCTTATCAGGGCTCTGGTGGCATATAAACTCATGGAGATTATGAAAGCATGCACAAGCACTGTGCAAGCTCAAACCAGACCAGATTCTAGTACAGAGAGAGAAGTTAAATATGAATTCCCACCCCTGGCAGAAGTACTGTTGGCAATTTGTAGCTACTGGGAGAGGGAGAATCAATTTTCTGTAAGATTGTCGGCTCTGAGCCGGGCGTTGGTGGCACATGCCTTTAATCCCAGCACTCGGGAGGCAGAGGCAGGCGGATCTCTGTGAGTTCGAGGCCAGGCTGGACCGACAGCCTCCAAAACAGAGAAACCCTGTCTCGAAAAAAAAAAAAAAAGATTGTCGGCTCTGACAAGTTGCTCATGATCCATTGGAAGGCCACACATCCAGGAATACATGAGCAGTGAAACTGAACTTGGAGTGGGGAAAAAAGAGATGACACAGAGTTGTGTAAGTAGGGAAGAGGGGGTAAAATATGATCATAACATGCTATATGAAATTTTCAAGAGGGACACAACCTACCCCAGGTGAATAAACACAATTTCTTTAAGTTGTCTGACAACCATCTTCCCTGGAATAAGAGAAAGGGCAAGCATACTTAAAACTCTGGGGTTCTATTCAGAGGACCAGAGACCTTGACTTCTGCTTTACCATCCTGAGGTGATAAGGCTTTGTTTGGTGTGACAGATACAGCCTCTTGTTTGGTGTGTTGTCTGCTGGTGTCAGATAATTTAAAGGATAATCAGAATTTAAAATGTGACAACGTGAAATCCATTGTGAATTCTCCAATCTATAATCTACTTGAAAAGGAGGCCACAAAGGCCCTGCCTCTACTCTGGTTTCCAGAATCCCAAGACATAGCAGGAAGTCGGGCTCAGTGGCAACTGATTTCCCTTGCTCTTCTCAGGAATGAAATCCTACCTGGGAACCTGGAGGGCTCAGGAGAGTGGATAGCTCTGTCTGAATTACTATAAAGTCATAAAAATTAAGTGATACTTCAAGCTGTGTGGGGACAGGTTGGCATACAGAACTGCACTCCTCTACAGTGCCCTGATTGTGTTTAAGGGCAAGCCTAAAGACGAAGTTGCCCCTGATAGTTGTCGTTGGGAAACAGGGACATGACATACTTGTTCTGAGGAGCCTGCCATTATGGGATGAAAGGCTCATATTGAGGACTTTGATCACTGTGGAAACTACATTCCCAGTAACAGCTGGGATCCTCAAATATCTCCCTCTTTGTCTGCACTAGTAATCTGAGTTTGCTCCTGAATGAGTGGTAGGGGTGACATGTTCTTTTAAAATTTTATTCTGTGTGGTATTAGGAAGCACTGTGGTGTTAACATCAGAATAGCAGAGAGACAGATGTGTAGGTCTCCAGACTGTGCCAAAAGCTCTTTAGCAAATGGGGATCGATGTTAGTCCATACTCTTACCCCAGGATGTCACAAACCTGGTTATCTTGCAGTCGTCTAGCCATAATTAATCTCCCCCACAGATTTCTCAGGATACATATTGCCCATGTGAGTTCCCATAAACCTACTTAGGAAATAAGCTGATTGGGAACCTTGTTAAAGGAAAGGTACTCTCTAATATAGTAAAGGTAGGGTACTCAAACATTGTCATTTTGCCCCTCCAGATTTCTACTTTGCCAGGTCTCCTGACTACCTCCTTGCCCTTCTGACCTTGAGCCATGCCTAGGGGCCACAAGAGTAAGGGCCGCTCTCGTGCCAAACGTCAAAATGAACGGGAGAAGAGTCAAAGTCTGCATGATGCTCAGCTCACTGCAAAAGAAGAGCCAGCATCTTCTATTGGTCAAGAGGATACTCCCAGCCCCCCTGATGACTGCATTCCCCAGGATACTGAGGGGGATGTAGCCTCTGTTTCTGATGATTCAAGTGTGCTCTTGACAGGTGCTGTCGGTGGTGAGGCTTCTGATCCAAATGCTGAGGCTTCTGCTATACAGCCTGAAAGATATTTAAGCAACTCCTTGATAAACTCCACTATTTGCTCTATACACAGAGATCCTCTTAACAGGAGGGCAGGTATATTGATGCAGTTTATACTGGAGAAGTTTAAGGCGAAAGAGTTCTTTACAGAGGAAGACATGTTGAAGGTGATTAATAAGAAGTACAAAGAACAATACAATGAGATCATTAAAAGAATCTCTGTGCGTCTGGAGTTTGTCTTTGGCCTGGAGCTAAAGCAAGTTGATCCCAATTCTCACTCATATACGCTCGTGGGCAAACTGGGTCTCTCCACCGAGGGAAGTCTCAGTGGCAATAGTGGGTTGCCCAAGACAGGGCTCCTGATGACCCTCCTGGCTTTGATATTCATGAGTGGCAACAGTGCCAGTGAAGAAGATGTCTGGGAATTCTTGAAAATAGTGGGGATATATCCTGGGAAAGATCATCCAATCTTTGGGGAACCAAGGAAATTCATAACAAAAGATTTGGTGGAGGAAAATTACCTCATATACTGCCGAATGCCTGGCACTGATCCCCCAAGGCATGAATTCATGTGGGGCCCCAGAGCCCATGCTGAAACCACAAAAATGAAAGTGCTGGAAGTTGTAGCTAAGATCAATCATGATGTTCCTAGTTCCTTCCCTCCTCTGTATGAGCAGGCTCTGACAGATGAGGCTAATAGAGCAGCAAGGAGAGTTACAGCTGTACCTGGCAACGTCAATCCCAGGCCTCATGTCAGGTGCATAGTACATAGCTCCTCCCATATCTAGGTGGCTTTGAGAGCTTTCCAGTCTGTTGAAGAGTGGTCAGCCTTCTATGTAGTAGAATGTATCATAAGCTAGAAGTAACAAAGTTTGTAACTTATTGCCCTGCTATAATGAACAAAATGTAGACATTTTCTCCTTTGCTTTATTGTAAATGTTCTTTTAACCAAAGTTAATTATCTCATAGTCTATGCTTCTTAACATTTTGTCTGACATGTTTATTGCTATTTGTCAGGTTTAAGATGAGTTTGATGCTTTTAAATAACTTAGTATAGCATAAATAATCTTAATATATCATATGGTAGGATGATTTTGGAAGTGATTTTATATAGCTGTAGTATCAATAAAGGTATAACAAAAATAAAATGTTTATCACAGTTTGATGTACATTTTATCCTTTGATTATTGTATTAATTGCAATAAATTTGGAATTAAGTTTACTCCAAGTGTATGAGAAATTTATTTGTAATAGTTCAAACCTTTCACACTTTTTAATACTTTGTTTTTACATGGATATTAATTAGGTATCTCTAAATAATATTCTCGCTCAATAGTAATAGTCTCACTTAATAGTACTAGAGGTAATACAAGAAAAAGTATCTACCAGTCACTCAAAATGATAGCCTGATAGCAAGGAGGTAAGACAGTATGTAAGCTACAAAGACCAAGACAAAAATATGAAGAATGGGGGTGTGAGAGAGTGTATATGATATATATGGTATATACCCATGAATATGTGCAGGTATGTGCCTATGCACACCTGAGGAATTCAGAGGAGGACACTGGGTAGCCCACATTATCATTTTATGGTCTATTTCCTTGATATGGAGTTTCTCACTGAAGCTGGAGCCAAGATGATGGCCAACAAGATTTATGGATCTTCCTGTCTCTGTCTTTATAGAACTGGCCCATATGTGACCATGTATAAACTTGTACATGAACCAAAAACCCAGGTTCTTATGCATACCCAGCAAGTATTCTTTTTTTTTTTTGTCCTGGAACTCTCTCTGTAGACCAGGCTGGTCTCGAACTCACAAAGATCCGCCTGTCTCTGCCTCCCGAGTGCTGGGATTAAAGGCGTGCGCCACCAACGCCCGGCAGCAAGTATTCTTACATGTTGAGTTACCTCCTAAGTCCTCTAACATTTAATGTGAATAATATTTTGTGGTTTTATCAGTTAAAATTCATTTGAATAATGTGAAAAGGAAAGGCTAGGCCTGCAAAGATTATCTGGAGTAAAGACTGCACAGGCTTTCTGTATAGGGAGAGGACATCGATTTTAAGAAATTAGCTCTTCTTGTTGTCTCTCACATTCTCATAAATCAACTGAGTATCTGCTGTTTGGGAAATTCTGTGCTAGTACTGGTGATGCTCAGAAAAAGATCGTACTTTATCCCATAGAATTTCAGAAGCAAGGAAATAAGATCTTATGAGAAAAATACTGCGATGCCATATTGGCATTACAGCAAAATAAGAATGGATAAAAGTAAGAGTAAAGTTCCTGAGACAAGGCACTTAGTAAATGCCGTGGTCTGTTATATGAGCATATGAGACTGAAGAGTATATGGGCCTTTATATGATAATATCAAAATATTGAAGAAAGATTATTGATTGGAAACCCAATTTGTAGAAGAAGTTGTAAAAGTAGGCTTCAATATTATACACTGCCTTGACATTTGGTGGAAACAGCAGGACCTCAATGATCTAAGCATTTGTTTATTCCATTTCAGCCTACAACCTCACATATACCAGCATTGCATAGGGTATGATGTTCCTCCTTGATTTGTATAATCTGACTTCTAGAAACCTTGCTTATTTATCATGTGTGACCAACCCCATGTGTCCCTGTGTTTCAAGTAATATAAAACTCTTATGACTATGAGTATAATAAACATGAATATGATTAATTAATTTCCATCTTATTTGTATACTATCTACTGTTGTGTGTTTAAATATCACTTAATCCTAATATGGAAATTCCTCTCTAACACACATAGAGTAAATGGGTCATTAAAACAAATGATTATGAAGAATATTGTGGCCTGAGATAGTCCAGAAAGAATACGTATGCAGGGAAATCTAATAATTTGTGTGGAATACTATGAAAGTACCACTTTGGCTTAAATAGAATACATTTATTTATTTTCTACCAATTCTGGAAGCCAGATGTCCAATATTAAGATGTCAGCAGATCAAATTTCCTGCAAGGCCTCTGTCATCAGCTTAAGTGGCATCTTCTTGCTCTCTGTTCATAGGGCAGTCTCTATTCATGTGCACATCCTTGGTTTATCCTTCTATGTCCCAACACTTCCAAATAAGAGCATTTCAGTCCCATTGTGTGAATGCTTATCCAAATGCATCCTAATGGTTTAGCATTAATTTAAAAATCTCATCTCCAAATATGTTAAATTCTGGTGTAGTGAGCAACATGAATATTGCAGAGAAGGAATATGATAAAAATTATAATTGGCCTGTGGGTTGTAGCATGATTATCCTTTACTTAACAGCTAATATCTAGTTATAGGTGAGTACATATCATGTTTATTTTTCTGGGTCTGGGTTGCCTTGCTCAGAAAGGCTAAGTAACAAGGAGGGCTCTGGCGGCACGGGACTGGGGAAGACACGTGGATATTTCTGGGAAGGGGGAATAGAATAAAAATTTGGGGTAGCCTGGGGGTGGGTTGGGATGGGAATAAAAGAGATCAGGAGTGGGTGTGGGGAGGGACAACTGGTATTGAGGCCATGTTGGGCACAATGTGGAAACCCAATGCAGTGGGAAATTCCTGGATGGTTCAGAAACTTAGGGTAGAACGAAACACAACTGACAAAAAGGCAATGAAATGTTTCCCAATAATAATCTGCTATACTTATAGATCAGTGACTAGCCCAATTGTTATCAGAGAGGCTTCTTCCACCAGCTAATGGGAGCATATGCAGAGACCCATGGCCAAACATCAGGCAGAACTTGGGGAATCCTGTGGAAGAGGTGGAGGAAGGATTGTACGAGCCAGATAAGTCAAGGACATCAGAAGAACACAGCCCAGAGAATCAACTAAGTAGGGTTCATAGCGTATCACAGAGAATGAAGTAGCAATCACAGAGCTTGCATGGATCTGAGTTAGGCCCTCTGCATATGTGTTGTGATTGTTCAGCTTGAGATTTTGTAGGAATCCTGTTTCAAAAGTAAATAAATAAACAAGCAAAGTAACTTTTGTCAGCCCTCCCAGTCCCTACTACTGTTACATTAGCAGTTAGTTGTCAACTCATGAGCTGTGTGTGGTGCCCTTTCCATGAAGATAAGGCTGGCAGAATGCGAGCCTATCTAAGCTACAAAATAAGTTCACTATCAACATGAGCAATTTAAACAGACACTATCTAAAACTAAAAATTTTTAAATAAAATGCTAGGGAAGTTGCTCAATGATAGCATGTTTACCTGGTTTGCACAAGTCCCTGCACATTGCATCCCTGTATCTCTCTCACACACATACACACAAGAGAAAAAATAAACTACCACGTATGAATTTTGAAAAGAATGTAAACACTGAGTTCATAACAAATTTTAATAGTCTCAATTGTATGATAAATAACCAACACAATTCTCAAGGTTCAGGGCTGGAGAAATGCATCAGCAGCTGAGAACACTAATTGTTTTTTCCAGAAGATCCGAATTCAATTTTCAACAACCACAAGATAGCTTACAAACTTCTGTAACTCCAGTTACAGAGGACCTGATGCCTTCTTCTGACCCCTATCAGCACCACACACAGAGAAGTTGTACACATACATACATACAAGCATTTACACATACCCATAAAATGCAAAATAAATTGAAAAATATTCTCAAGATTCTTAAGGTATCAAATGTTAGAATGAGGACTGACTGTTGATCTGAATCCATCTAAAGCCTTGATATTCCACTCTTTCCACAGGAAAGCTGACCTTTTGGGGTTTTAAGCATTATTTTTCTACACTACCTTTTTTTGAATTTGATATCTTTTTATTGACATAACTATATTGTTTTGTTTTTTAAATTATTCCCTTAGTTGTAGAAGTTCATGAAGAGAATCTCAGGGTAATGGGAGAGATCTGGTATGTGGTTGTTCTGTAATTACATACAAAAAGGAAGTGCAAAATATAACTGTTTCCTCAGCCTAGTATTCTTAAAATAGAGACATTTTTGAAAATCCAAATAGAAAATATACATTCCATTGAACTTTTCCATATACTCTTATTGAAATATTTTTTCATATAGTATATTCTGATCATGGCTTCACTTCCTCCATCTCTTCCCAGATATTCACCATCTACTCACCCACTCAATTCCTCTCTCTCTCTCTCTCTCTCTCTCTCTCTCTCTCTCTCTCTCTCTGTCACACACACACATACACAAACACACAAACCAACAACACACACACCTATAATAACACAAAACTGTATCCCAGATGATTTAAAAACAAATTTTGTGCTTAAAATACAGAAGTAAAAAGAATATGAACATAAATGAGGGAGTTTTATTAATAAGAGGGGAAACCGGTAAGCATATAAATATATAGTATCACTTTGACAGATTGGGATCTATAAACACACGTGGTTTAGTGTCTTTCCTGTAGTAATCAAATACCTTGAAGGTGGAGTTGCACAGACAATCAACTGAAAGAGCCACAAGTATTAAACACACCATCGTCCAAGATTGGGAAACTACACAGCCACGCCACAAGGGGCGCTAGAGAGGCGGGGCTTCCTGTCAGCCTCTCTTCAGGGTCCTTTCTTTAGAGACCCCAGTGTTCTCCGCAGTTCGACGACTGGGAGGCCCTGGGGAGTACTGTCCAAGGCCGCTGACTGAACAAAACCAGGAAATAAGCCCCAGTCTCTGTCATTCAAGGTGAGAAGTTTCAGTGAGGTGGAGAAACAGTCTTTTCAGAATCAGTTTTCCCCTGCTCTAGAACTCGTGCCCATTGCTCTCAGTTTTTAGACTTTCCATCGCCACCAACCTTCCTCGTGTTCTCCTAAAGTCCCACATTGAAGCCTAGGACGACACCACTCTGGCCGGGCTACAGGTCCTTTGTTGCCAGACTTGGTCCACCTCAGAATCAAGCACTCTACCTCTGTTCAGACAGCTTACCTCCATCTCGCCGCCATCTCTTCCCTGTCCAGCTACAGCACTACAGTACCCCATATCCGCCCCCCCCCCACGCCCGCATGTGGGACTTCTCAGCTTTTCTGTCAGTTGCGCGCCATTTCAAAAGACAGCCTACACTGTCTTTTGATATTGGGGATATTGGGGGTGGTTGGTGGGAGGGCACGGGAGGAGGGGAGGGAAATGGAGAGGGACCTGGAATTGACTTGTGAAGCAACCTTGTTTCTAATTTAAATTAAAAAAAAAATATATATATATATATATAGACAGCCTACACTCAAAAGCAGAGAGCCTACCTACTTGAAGCCCTAGTTTTATTTTCAGTCTTGTCCAGTATCACAATACATTCAAGGCCCACAAAGTATGTCCAGACTGCCAGTCTCTGCAAACTGTAAAAAAGAGTTCCAGTCCCTCAGGAAATTAGGAAATTGTGCCCTTTTTAACAGCTTTTGCCAGACTCAGAGGTTCACCTCCATCTCAAAGACTAGAACTTGTTCCCTATTTTAGCCACTGTAGAATATACTACCTATGCTTACCTCAGTGCCATATATATATTTTTTTTTCTTTACATACCTGACTACTCTGTCTCTGCCTCCCGAGTGCTGGGACTAAAGGCATGTCCCCACTGCCCAGCTGTGGCCACCATTTTCATGTTGGCATTTTGAAAATAATTTTATTTTTTGTTATCATAATATCATTCCTTTCATCATTTCCCCCACTGTTTTTCCTCTTACAAAATCCTTCCATGTACCTATCTTGCTTTCTTTTAAATCCATGGTCTCCTTTTCTGTAATTGGTGGTGGTGGTGGTTGTGGTAATGGTATAGGTGGCAGTGTTGTTGCTGGTGGTAATGTTGGTAGTTGTGTGTGTGTGTGTGTTACTAAATACAAACAACAACCAGATCAGTTCATATAATGTTACATGCAGGCATGTTTTCAGGGTTGACTGTAGTCCAAACATGACCTGGACCAGGCAGACACCAATAGGCCTGCTATTGTTGAAGGAGGAAAGGTCATTAGGCTTCAACCCTAGACAACAACTACAGTCAGTAACCACCATTTTAATCTGTGTCTGTCCAGTCTGTATAAAATTGCCCCTATCTCCCCTGCCACACACACCCTTGTTCTTAGTCTCTGTTACTTTCAGAGAAGGACTCATATCACACCTCAGGAAGCTGGTCCATATGCACATTTGTGCAACACCCCTGAAGAAAACCGTAACAATTTATAATAGCATTGAGAAGAATGGGGCAATTGATACATGCTCTTTTATGCCTTTAGGGGCTCAAAAGTGGCACAGTCAATAAAAATGTGGAGCCACATTTTAGTAGAGGAAATAAGCCTGCAATAACAATAGAAAATTCAGAAAAACATAGGCAGAGATACTCCCATGTAGGAGTCTGAGAAGGGCAAGCATGGATGTCCCACAGATATGTCCCCTCTTTTCCTATTCAATTGGAGACCTGAGGTTCTTGACTTGAGGGGGAAAGGTCCTTAAGTGGGCAAAAGAGGCAATACCATGTTTTGTAGGAAATTAAGAGAGGAACAAAGAGTGAGTTCTAAGGGATTTACCCATCCTAATACAGTTAAGAGGTTCACAGCTTGTCTCTACCATCAATCCTTGGAAGGACAAGTAGGGCTATTGTGTCCATTACTGACAGAATAGTCGGAAGAGTAATGACATTCTTAGGGTGAATGGATGGTTCATTTAGTCAGATAAGTATTCCATGAATGGTCAGAAGTCAGATAAGGACTCAATGGGAGGAATCAAGGCACTTCTAACCTGCTAGGAGCCTAGATTTTCTGTGCGGTAGTAATGGGCCAGGCCCACATTTACTCTCACTCTCTGTGGCTATAGCTGAAATAGTGGTAAGGGATTTTGTTAGAGGAGCTGGGCTAATTTGTCTACAAGGACGTTTAAGACATATCTGAGGAGAACACGTGTAAGAGTATCACAGGGAGACAATTGGCATGTAGTAGAGGACAGGATTGGGATTTCTAAAAATTTGCATGAAGATTCTCACTGAAAACTGAGAGGCTGCCCATAACTAAAAGGCATGAATGCCAGCCTACTGCATCTAACATAGCCCAACACAGGAAGGAATGATAGGTTGTAACCTGAACTTACTCTTCTTCTTCCTTAGGGAATAGGCAGTTGAGAACAGAAGGCCAGTAGGTTCCTAAAGCACTGTACTCATGGAAACCTGCAGTTACAAACAGGTTTTTCTTCTCTCTGGTTAAAGTGTCCATATCATCTTTTGCTTCTTACAAGTGTTTTCATTGGCAGCACCCTTTTAACATATTCTGTTTTTGTCCCTAGCCCAGAGTAATCATGCCTCGAGGCCAGAAGAGTAAGCTCCATGCCTGGGAGAAACGCCACCAGGCCCGAAGTGAGGTTCAAGCTTATAGAGGTAGATGTGCTTGTGAAACACCAGAGGAAACACCAGAGGAAACACCAGAGGAAACACCAGAGGCAACAGAAGAGTTCTCTGATGCGTCCCAGAGCCAGCCTGGGGCTGAGTCTTCCAGCACTCCCAAGGCTCCTCAGAAAGCAACATCATCTGCCTCGATTTCTCTGAGTATTTCTTCCTCTGAATCATATGAAAGTTCCAGTGAGGAAAGTGATAAATGTGAAGAAAGGGAATGCCCTTTTGAGGCCAAGCCCTGCACCATCATCCTGCACCATGATCTGATAGCCAGAAAGGTGGTGTTGCTCTTGCACTACCTGCTCTACAACTACAATATGAAGCAGCTTACTACCAAGGAAGAAATGCTGAAGGTTATCACCAAGAAGTATGAGAAATACTTTCCTGAGATCCTCAGAAAAGTCTCTGAGAAGCTTGAGGAAATCTTTGCTGTGGAATTGAGGGAAGTCAACTCCAGTGAGCCCTCATACAACCTCATCAGCAAGGTGAAGCTCCCCAACAATGGGAGGATCCGTGCTGGCAAAGGCCTACCAAAGACTGGTTTCCTGATGAGTATCCTGGCTATCATCATCGTTAGGGGCAACTGTGCCAGGGAGGAAGACATCTGGGAAATCCTGAAGAAGAAGCAAATCTATCCAGGGAAGAAGCACCGTGTCTTTGGTGAGCCCCGAAAGCTCATGACCCAGTATTTGGTGAAGCTGAAGTACCTGGAGTACCGGCAGGTGGCCGACAGTGATCCTCCGCGCTATGAGTTCCTGTGGGGTTCCCAAGCCCATGCTGAAATAAGCAAGATGAAAGTCCTGGAGTTCTTGGCCAAGATAAACAAAACAGCACCTAGTACCATCTCTGCCCTTTACGAAGAGTCTTTGAAAGAAGAGCAAGAACAAGCAGAAGCTAGAGCTGAAGATGATTCTGATGCCACTGACCAACCAAGTAAAGATCCTCCAGTAAAATTACCAGCAAATTCTACCATTCCTGATGACCCTTGAAGTTTTTCTGTAATCCAGATAAGGAAATAAAGCATCACAAAGAGAATTGTTTTGAAAATATGAATTAATCTTAGAGTTAGTAGGTCAGTACACTGGGAGTAGCAGGGGATTAAAACATGATAAAGTCTAGTTTTCTTTAATTGCTTTCATTATGTAGTTTGATAAAGTTAAATGCAATAAATGCAATGAAATATTTTTGCCTGGCTTATAAAAAAGTAAATAAAAATAAAATGTTTATGAATTAGACTTTGTGCTTATTTACTGGTATTGAATAAATCTATTTTAAGTATATTGTCTTCAGCACTCAATGTGAAAGTATTAGAAAAGTAAGATAATATTCTAGCCTATAATTTTAGAAATTTTTAGCCAATTTCTGCAGTTTCACCAGTAAAACTGTGGTTTCCCCTTTGTGACTTAAGGTAAAGCAAAAATGGAGTAAGAATGGTGTTTCTTATGAAAGCAATCCAGTTGAAATTCATTGAGCAAGGTATGTGGAAATGTCAAATTCCTCAAACTTGGAAAACAGATACAATTTTCATTCATTGGTTATGTAGATGTTTGGCTAACTGGACTTTAAAAGTAATGAATAAATACCATTCTGTTGGATGGTATACCTTACAGTTGATGGGGGACAATCCTATGAGTCTATGCTGGCAGCTCAGAGAAAATAAACTGGTGTTTGGAGTGGGGTGGAGGTGTATCACCTTAATTGTAATTAAAATTTTCCAGTTCCGTGTGGAGAAAAATGTAAGGTCAAGGAGACAACTGACTCAGTTCCTGACAATGCTTTCTTTAGTTAAAACTTTGAGGGAGGAAAAGGACAGGGCAGTAAGGGATGGACAAAGGTAAACGACAAGCGAAGAAAGGGAAGGAGGGAAGAATGAAGTAAGGATGGAAGGAGGAAAGAAGTTAGCCAGTCAGGTAGAGAAATAGTAAGACAAGAAAGAGCAGCAGGGGAAGCAAAGTATAAGACTAAGAGTGAGGAAAATTTCTACTTTTCCTTGTTTTACTGCAGCTAACGTCTAAATGGGGAGGGTTCTCTCACTCCATCCAAAATGGGATGTCTCCATCAAACCTCTCCCTTAAAGGCTCAGGGATCTATGAGAGAGAGGAAGCAAAATAATTGTACAATCCAGGGGTGGTGGTTGACTCCAAGAAAACTGTCTTCCAGACACAACTGGAATGATACACATATGGACTCAGAGTATTGCAGAATCCTGACAGTGTCCCTTAGGGGTGGGGAAAAGTAGGCATGACACCAACAACATAGGCTTTGGGAACAAGTTTAAACAACAAGATCAGTTTATTGCAGGAAGGGTTAAGCCTTATATACAACTCAATCCTGCTCCACGGTAGAAGATTCACTGAATGTACACCTACTGAGGTGACGTGGTTGCTGTCCACAGTTCCATGTCATCTTGGCAGTCAGACTTGGCTGCTGGTGCCAAGGCCCTCTAGCATACCCAGGCTGGCTGTCAGCAGATACCTACTGCGAATGATCTAAGCAAGCTGTCAGGTTCACTGAGGCTTAGTTATCCCACAACTAAGACTGTGGCATCATGCAAAAGACCTACACAGGTTCAAGTCAGATGGGTTTCTAGAACTGAGAGGGTGAAGTGAACAGGGGTCATACCCTTAGTAAAAAAGCTATTTGCAATCAATTCCAATTGAGAAAGGGAAAATCAGTTTTTTTCCAATAGAGTGTCACTGGGAATATCAACCTTTCTCCAAGCAGGCCTCATGCCCAGGAGTATTTAACTATTACAAAATGATTCATATGGTGGTGAGGAAGCTTTTTGTTTCATTTTGTTTTGTTAGTGTGTTTTTTATCATTTTTCTTTCTTTTGATTCTCTCTTTTTGGAAAGAGAAAGAAAGAACATGAAGTTGGATGGGTGGGGAGTGTGGAAGGATTTGAGGTATAAGAAAAGCATGGTCAATTACATTTTATGAAAGCAATCTTTTTAAAAATGGGGGATACATATCATAACACTATTGAAATGTAATTACTTCTAAAGCCCATCATTGCATTCCCATCACATCTCAGAAGAGGACTTCACCACTTTAATTTGAGAATACACACTTTAAATCCTTGATGACAAACTCTTACAAGTGATTGGGTTGGTGGGCAAATACAACGCAAATCTCCAGGATGGTTTCACCTACAATTAATAATACCGTACCTTTTGTTCTCCATAATACTTTATGAGGAAATTCTGAGTAATTAGACAGAAGGAATAGCAAAGAGAGCTATTGGCCTGGTGTTTCTGACAATTCTAGCTTTCTTCCCCAGGCCAGGTCCAGCAGCTCATCCCTCATCTAGTTGATGTATCATGAGGTATAGTTTTCACTTCCTGTTTGGAAGGAACATACAGTATTCTCAGAAGTGAAAACCTTACTGGATTGAGGATAAAAATGAATGTGTCCTTTTTCTTTTTTCGCTTAAATTAGCAACCTTTTTAGTGTTTGTACTTTTAAGTGAAGAGTTACTTTGCTTCAAATAATCCTATCAATTATTGTGTTCTCACATAAACTGCTGTGCAGTTTTAGCTGGGCGTTGGTGGCACACACCATTAATTCCAGCACCCAGGAAGCAGAGGCATGTGGATCTCTATGAGTTAGAGGCCAGCCTGGTCTACAGAGCGAGTTCTAGGACAGGCACCAAAACAATACGGAGAAACCCTGTCTCAGAAAAAAAAATCCATAGCCATGCACTTGGGAGGCAGAGGTAGGCCAGCCAGAAATGTTTCACAGACAAACCGTGTCTAGAAAAAAAAACAAAAACAAACGAATAAAAATCCAGCAGATGGCAGAAATGGTCCTGGTCGCGGTATTGCCATGGCCTGTGCATATGTTCACAGGGCAAATATTATGACTGGCTTTGCAGCTCGGCGTGCAGGGCAGGGCGAGTGGATGGTGCAGTCAGGTCAGAAGGCACCAGGGTCCCCCTGGAAGTGAGAGCAGTGCACTTTCTGAGCAACTTCAGCAGTGCAGCAGGCAGAGTCAGCCAAGGTCTTCTGGCTGTGGGTTACTGGGTCCTGTTCTTATACCAACCAGCAAGCAGGCCCCGCCTTCCCCACAGTTGGCCCTGCTGTCTTCTGGGCCACTGCAGCAGGGCAGGGTGGGAGGCATCTTGCACTCCTGGGCTTTGCTGGAGCATTGCAGAGCTACTAAGAGGGACCTGCTACCAGCACCTTCCTAGCCATAGAGTTCACTACTACCTGCATCTGCTGCAGGCTGCAGCTCTCAACCCACTACTAGGCTCTGCTGCAATGTTTTACCTGGTTGCGGAAGCATTAGATTTCTATATTCCTGTTTTCTGAAATGCCTAACAAGCTCCACTCATCTGGTGGTCCACTGCAGATAACAGTGCAGATAGTGCCAAAAATGCTCTCTCCTCTGGTTAAAGATTGTGTTCCCAAAGCATTTATAGTTTCCTTAAAGCTGGAAACTGACCCTGCCATCATAATTAATCATGCTCAGAATGCCTTGGAAGTTTATCAACATCATGTGGTGGTGGCCAATATCCTCAAATCAATACAATTCTTTGTGGTTAATGTAACCAAAGACTCAGAAACCAAGTTACTGCTGTCAGAGGATGACATAGCAAAAGACGTAGTGCTAGAGAAGATAGAAGACCTTCAGTCATGACATACAGTTTTTATATGTGACAAAACTGAAGGAAACGATTGTCTAGCATCAAAAGCCAGGGTTCAGCTGACAGGAAGTAAAATGAATCCTTTGCTAAGGAAAAAAATAACAAGGAAATGGTATGCAGGTATATAACTCTTGGTATTTTATTTCTGACTGAACTACCTGAAAGACTCATCTTGATTTGGAAATTGAGCAAGAACTGTTTTTGACTTTTCACAAAGGTGACTGTGGGATTGTGTGTTCTGCAGGACAGACATAGGGTACTGAAGCTGAATGTCAGCCTTCTGTACAATAGAACGGTCATGGATGCATGAATGGTTATGCTCTGAAGATCAAGTATTTATCAAGTGCTTCCCATGTTTCAGGGCCTCTGTGAGCAGTGAAGGTTTAAAAGATGAGTAAATATGTGTCATTTGGAAACTGGATGTAAAAAAAATTAAGTGCAATAAAGTATGTGCCCACAAACTTACAAATGGAAAGAGTAATTTTTATTGTTGTTTTAAGCTTTAATTATTTTTATTTTATGTGTTTGAGCATTTCTGCCTGCATATATATCTGTGCACCATGGAAATACCTTTGGAGGCTAGAAGAGGGACTCAGATTCTCTGTATTCCAATTTCAGAGGTTTTGGGCCTTCATGTCGGTGCTGGGAATCAAACCTGGGTCCTTTTTCGATACACTTTTACTAAAACAGGAATAAGGCAGGCACCCCACTAAAGATAGACTGAAGATCACAATTTTCCTACATTTAATTTTTGCCTTTTTCCTAGATATATTCCATATTTAAGAACAACTTTTCAAGTATTTTAGATATGTTCTTCAAGCCTTCCACTTGGAGTCTAGAAAGAGCTAAATGAATGCTTCTGCCCTGAGGCACATGTTACAGTGTTGTAGATTGTGGGGCTCAGTTAGCCAGCTGGGCCTTCTATACATATAGGCCCTTGACTTAATCTCAGCTTACCTATCTACAGTGTAGAGATAAAGCAATGCTGGAGGTCGAGCATTACTCCTGTGTCTGTACTTCACACTGAGTAAGTTGGTATAGTCACTTTTCCTCAACAGACCAGGCTGACATCATTGACCAATGAGTCCCTGAGAAGTTCGAATTCTCCTGTTTTGGAGTAAGAATGTATGCCTAGTGCAGAAAATTTCAGTAAATGATCCTTAAGATAGTCCTGTATGCAGCTGAGGGGGGATGCCATAATTAACTATGTAGAAGTAGGTAGTGTTCCACATAAATATTTGATTTAGGGACTGGTGGTAAAAATGAAAGTGGCAGCCTTGGGAATGATCCGTAACATTGCAAAGTCCTGGCTTATAGTATAAGTTATATCATGGAGTTGGGAAGGGTAACCTGAAGTCCTCTGAGAAGTATTATGGACTGATGTCTTCAGGGCTGTGATCAGAACCAGCTGAACAGCCCCAGATCTGACCCTGAGTGGAGGAGTGTGGACACAGGATATGCTAACTCTCCAATTGCATTAAAGATGAGACAGAAACATCTGGTCATATCAGGAGGGCTCCCAGTCAATACTGAAGGCCTTGGT